TCGCGCTGGAGGTGCGCGGAGGCCGCGCGCGCGGGCTCGGGCCCCCTCCATGGGGCCCTCGTTGTGGGCCGCCTGGGTGCTCCATCGGAGCTGTGCAGCCTGCACTGCTGCTTGGATGCCTGGGGGCGCGCTTTGATGCGTCCTCAGGTCCACAGCACAGCCCAGGTTCATGATTGTACTGGACGGTGGGGTTCGAGCCCAACCCCGTCCGAGGGCCTCGCGCGAGAGGGCCTTTGCGCCCCGCCCACCGCGCGCCCCGCCGCCCCTCCCCGCAGGCCGCGGAGAATGCGGGGCAGCACGCGCTCTTCATCAAGCTGTCCAACAACATGGGGGCCGTGCTCAAGCGGATGGAGAGCCACGAGGAGGTGCGGCCGCCACCCTGCTGCCCTCTCCCCCCCCCCCTCCCGGGGGTTCATTCTGCACCAGCGGCGAGGCGTGGGCCCGGCGGCTCTCTGGCGTGTCGGGGTGGCTCCACAGCGCAGCAGGGCTCGCGTCGTCGCAGCTCAGGGCCTCTCCCGCATGCGCTCGATCCAGCGCGGCCCCCTTGCCTGCGGGGTCGCGCTGCCCGAGTTGCTTGCAAGACCCATGTGATGCCCAAGGCGCAACGCAGCTGCGTGAAGAAGCGGCAATCGCGCCCCTTCCTGTGCGTGTCCAGGGCAAGGAGCTGCACTCGCGCGCCCTGGGTATGGCCCTGGAGCACTTTGGCCCCGCCCACCCCACCGCCACGCTGGCCAGGTGCGGGGCAGGATAAACAGGCGCACTGAGGGCCGGGGGTAGTGGTGGTGGTGGTGGTGATGGTGATGGTGATGGTGGGGGTGGTGGTGTCCCTCCACCAAGCCGAGGCGTCTGCATAACCTGTCTTCTTCCACACTTACTGCATTTGCGTACAGTATGTAAGATTCTCTTGCATTCATCGCCTAGGCCACCTGTCCCAGATGCAGACCACCTCCTCCCCTCCTGCTCTACCTCTCCCTTTCTCTTCCCTCGCTCACCCTCTTCCTCCACCAAACCTGCCTTGTCATGTCGCGCCAAAAAGCTGACATATAATACCCTACACACGTACGCATCCGGCCACAGGGGCAACTTGGTGGAGTCGCTGGACCAGCTAGGCGACAGAGAAGCTGCCAGGAAGCTGCTGACCGATGCAATTGACGAGCTCAAGGGCATTGCAGCAGAGAAGGAGGCGGAGGAGGCGGCCGGCACCGCGGTAAAGCCGGACGAGGACGATGAGGTGAGGCCGCAGTCTGATCTGATGCGACCTGATCTGACGTGATCTGATCAGCTCCGCATTCCCTTGCCTTGGAACCCGGCAGACTGCCCTGGGGCTGTGGGAGGCGGGACAGGATGAGGGCTGCCTGGACCCGGCCGATGCAGTGCGGCTGCTGGGACAAGCCTCGAGCAACCGGCACTCGGCTGGTGACGGCCCTTCAAACCGCTGCCAGGGGCGCATCTTAGCGCCCACCGCCCGGCGCCCGCTGCATGCTGCGCGCGGCTCGCGCGCGCAGCTCGCGGTGCAGGTGCACGTTGACGCGTCGAAGGCGCGCCAGTCGATGCTGCGCGCCTGCATGGACCTGGGGCGGCTGGAGATGAAGGCGCAGGACTTTGGGGCGGCCAAGGCGGTGCTGTTCGGGGCGCTGGAGGTGGCGAAGGACAAGGAGGGCGCCGACTCGGAGGCAACAGGTGCGCGCGGCTGCCTGCCTGCATCTGGGTTGCCTGCCTGCGTGTGCGGTAGTCCGAGCTTGTGTGATTCTTGTGTGGCCTCTGTTGGGTTGGCACAGGGCAGAGCGCAATAGTTCCATCAGGGAGTCTGCACTCCACAACAGCATACGTTGCCATCACAGTTGGGCCGTATGCTTGGACGAGCTGTGCCGTCGCTTCCGCTGGGTCCAATCGGTCCTCACCAATGCAGCCCCGTTGCCTGGCCCCCAAAGCAAACCTGGAACTTGCCGCCCCCCCCTTACCCCCACGCGCGCCCGTTCAGCTGCCATCATGGCCGCGCTGGCCTCCAGCCACCGCCAGGCGGGCGAGCTGGCTGAGGCTGCTGAGCTGTACGGCCAGCTGTACGCCATCAACGAGCAGCACAGCGGGACCGCCAACCAGAGCTCGGTGCGTAATCGTGTGTGTGCATATGTGCGTTTGTGTTTGTGTCGTTGGCTGTGTGGGTAGGTGTACATGGTTGTGGGTGTATGTGCATGTGTGTGTGTGTATGTGTGTGTATGTGTGTGTGTGTGTGCGTGTGCTAGCTTGTGTGCAAGTGTGTTTGTGCATGAGAGCTTGTGTGCGTGCGCGTGTGCGGGGCTCAATTGTTCCGTTTGTTGCATGGACCTACACCGCCTCGCCCTGACGGCTGGATGGACGGGTCGAGGGGAATACACATGACTGCCAGGGCCCGCGTTTTTGTAGCACAGCTGGCAAGGCGCTTGCGCCGCTCCCCTCTCGCGCCGCCACGCGCCTCTTTCATCGCCAGCGCCAGCGCCTCTTGAAGCTGCGGCCGACGCCTTCTCGAGCGGCAGGGCTGTGCCCCCTGCGAAGCTGCAGGCGCAACATCACACGTCGTCAACCCCTGCGCCCGCCCTGCACTCTCTCCCAAACAAAACCCCCAAACCCCGCAGGTCATGCTGGCGCGCACGCTCTCCGACGTGTGCGAGGGCCAGGGCGACTTTGCCGCGGCCGCGTCCTGGGCGGAGAAGGCGCTGGCGGGCATGCAGGGTGTGGTGGGCGTGAAGGTGCACCCCCTGCTCAAGGCGTTCTTCGACGCGGTGGCAGACCTCAAGACCAAAGCGGGTGCGTATGAGGGTGTGGGCGGCAGCACGGCGGCAGCTTGCACGCGCGGTGGTGCAGCGCGTGGGCGGGCGCGCGTGCCGAGGGACATCGTGTTGCGGGGCGGCACAAGGCTTAGCGCACACGGGTTGGCTTGTCCCCTTGGTACCCAGAGGGGGTTGGCTACAGGAGGGACACGGCGCTCTCAATGACTGATGGCTTGCGCGTGCTGCGCGCGGCGTGCTCTCACAGGAAGTGTCTCATACTTATTGCTTTGTTTCCCTGGGCTGCCCCTGCAACTGTTGCCCGCACCCCTGCTGCACCGCAGGCGACACCGAGGGCGCAGAGGAGGTGCAGCAGGCCTGGGCCAAGGGCATGGCGCAGCTGCAGCAGCAGGCGGGAGGCCGTGGCGGCAGGGGCGGCCGCGGCTCAGGGGCGGGCGGCGGCGGCAGGGGCGGCCGTGGCGGGCGGAGGGGCGGCCGTTGATGCGCCCGTAGCCGCGCCGCGCTGACGCGCCGAGCTTGCTGGCCCGCCATCGCGGGCGGCCGGGCCCTGGTGGGCGGCAGTGATGGCACTCTCAGAGCAGGTTTTTATGGCGTCGGCGACTCGCGGGCGTCATGGCAGGGGAGAGGGCTTTTGGGGGTCTGAGCACACCAAGTCTCGAAGACCTGGGCATACATTTCGTTGCGCCGCCGTGTTTCATGTGCTGATCACACCACACGCTCCTCGCCGCGGAGAATTGCACATGGGCGCTATCGGGCGCCGCTGCGCGCAACTCGCGAGCTGGTCTCCAGGCTGCTGCTATCGTGGATTGATTGTATACTCGCGTGCGCTGATTACGGTAGGTTGAGTGCAACTGTAATCACTCGTCTCAAACCCCCTCCTTTGAGTGATTACATCCGTTTCCCTTGCAGGTGCATTGGGTATGAACGTCCGTTTGCATGTGTTTGAGACCAGCAGATGCTATCGCCGCGATGCAGTCATGGCAGTGCTGTGCATATTTTGTTCAGTACTGGTGTGCAGGCCGTGCAGGCAAAGGGGATTGCGGCAGTGATCGTTTTCGACAGCAAACAGCTCAGCAACTGCCAGCGACGTCATAAAAGCAGCCCGACGCGATCAATACCTTGGCTGCAGCCCCAGCGCACACTCCACGCCTGGCCGGCACGGCGGCAGGCCCGGCGCCACCCACCCACGACTCCACGGGCAGATTGGGCCGCCGCCGACGCAGATTGGGCCGCCGCGACGCGCCATGGCGACGCCAAGCGGTTCCAGGTCACGCCGCGCCCGCCACCGGCGCGTCGTCCCCCTCCTCCTCCTCCAGTGCCGCCAGCTCAGCCTCCACCTCAGCCAGGGCGGCCTCATCCAAGTCCACGTCGTCGTCACCCAGATCACGCACCTGTCGTTATTTCAAATCCAGCGCGTGAGGGAGACAGCGTGGGTCACGGTGGATGTGTTTTGACGCGCGCGCTGGTGCGAGGACGCGGCGCGTGCGCATGCAGAGATACGCATGTGCGGCCGAAGACAGCAGCGGCGACGCATCCAGCGGGCCGGGCGGTGGGGGTGCGCAAATTGTTGAGCGGCGCATTCGTTTGAAAGCTGCAAAAATGCACACCCAGGACATATGCGGCGCAAAGAGTTGACGCATACTCACGTCGATGTCATCTACTGGCACCGCCACCTGCGGCCGCGCCGCTGCCGCCGCTGCCTGGGGCGCCTTGGGGCCGCCTTGCGCCACCGCAGGCTTGGCGGGGGCCGCCGGGCGGCGGGGCGGCGGCGGGGGGACGTCCTCAACTTCCATTGCCGCCATCTCTGCGTCCATGGCCGCCATCTCTGGTGTCGGTTGGTTTGGCGGTTGTGGGGTGGTTGAGGTGGGTTGGGGATGACGACAGGTGGCGAGCCTTGCGTGTAGATTCAACCCTGGGAAGAGCAATGCAACATCCCAAAACGTGCTGTATCAACAAGCAATATCAGGCCCACAGCCGACCCCACACACCGCCGTGTCCGTCCAAAAGCCACCCATAGCCGCTGCGGGCGCAGCCGCTTTGACCGGTTTGACCGCGCACCCGCGTCGAAGGCATCCAGCTCAGCGTCGAGCCCCTTGGCTCCAGGCTTCTGCGCCGAGCTGCCCGTCTGGGCGCCCTCCTGGCCGGCGCCGCGCTTCCGCCACCAAAGGGCAAAGCCCGCTGCGGCGGCCGCAACGCCCGCGAGAACCACCAGCGCGTACACGGTGCTGCCGCCGCCGCCGCCTCCTGAAGCCTGCCTCGGCCTCTGCGCCTCCTCAGGACCGTCCGCATCCCCGTCTTCGCTTTCAGGCTTGCGCCGCTTCTCCCTCTTTCCTCGTTTCGGAGTTTCATGGGTTGTTTTGCTGGGCTCGCCGACTGGCGCAGCCGCGTCAGGCTGCTGCGCCTCCCGCGCCGCGAGCTGCTTGGGGCCAAGCGGCGGCTGCTGGCGCGGCGGCGGCGCTGGCTGCTGCAGGGAGGCGGGCTGCCGGGGAGGAGGGTCGTACTGCAGCGAGGGCTGGTCGTACTGCTGCTGCGGCTGCTGCTCGGCAGGCTGCTGGTACAGATGCTCCAAGGGGGCCGCAGGGGCGGCGCCAGCGGCGAACAGGTTGACTGCCGCTGGGGCAGCATCCCGGGGATTGGTCGGGTTGACCAGGAAGAGGCTCCCTGCGCCTGGCACCTCCTCGTGCTGCGAGCGGGGGTTGCCAGGCTCGTCGTGATCCTGCTGCTGCTGCTGCTGCGCTGCCGCGGCCTCACCGCGGCGCCTGAAAGAATCGGACGCGCCTGACAGCCAGCGGCGAAGTGAGGGCGTCGGGTGCAGCTCGGCGGAGCTGCTGCGAAGCGCCTCAGGTGTCACGGCGTCGAGGCTCGACGTTGGCGAGGACCTGGCGTCAACGCCCGGAGGTGAGAAGCCCGGGAACCCGATATCCCCTTCGTCCTGGGGCTGCTGCGGCGGCTCTGCACCGTCCATGCTGTGCGTTCTTGAACTCACAGCAGTGCTACGAGAGCGACTTCGGGATCAGCAACTCATAAAGATGGATCCAAGTACATTCAAAAAAGAACTCAACTATGATGGCAATGACAGCATGGAATCGCTGCGCGGGTGGGAAATCCCGAGATCAGACGTTAGCGTTCAGATCGACTTTTGTATAGATGCTATGTATGCATATATGCACATATTCTTGATCGCGTCTCATTTACATTGCAGTGGCCTCGCTGTGAGGCATTTGTCACCCGCCTGCAGGCCAACTTGATCCCGTATCACTCGAGGTCCTGGTTAATCAACGCCGATCATACGTATTTTTGATGATGACAGTGACATTGTGGTGAAGCTGCTTGCTCGAGCGCTCGTGACCACGCCCGCCATCATCATCGTCAAACTGCCCGCTCGACACGAGATAGAACCATGAGGCGCTCTCTGGCGGGCCTCGCCCGCCGAATCGGACGCGTCCAGCAGGGCAACAGCTGCAGCGCCAGCGCCACACTTGCGGGACCTGCTGCGCTGACAGTGCGTGAGGCGCCCACCTCCACATCCGCCTCCGCCATCGCAGCCGCGTCCGCCGCTTGCGCCGCGCCGGCCCCCGCATTCGGCGCCGCGCGGTGGTGGTCATCCGCGGGCGACGCAGGCGGCGAGGGCAGCGGGCAGCGCCGCGGCAAGTGTGCTGAAGGGCGGGCTTCGCCGGACGACGAGCCGCAGCTCTTCATCCGCCAGCTGCAGGAGGTGCGGGCCTTGATGGGTTGCTGAAGGGAAAAGGTCCGTGTAAAACGCCTGTACGCGGCGGAGCGGCTGCGGGTGCTTCGGGTCGCTCTGCTTGACACCACGTCTCCTCCACCCAGCTGCCACCGCTCACAAGCCACTTGCACGCGCGTGCCTGATGATTGGCGGGCTACACCCAGCAGTCAACGCTCCTCTAAGCGATTGTGCCCACGGTCTCCCCCTCCATGACACAAAAACAAATCTGCCGCACTGCCAGGCTGGGGAGCAGGGCGATCTTGCGCGGGTGTTTGACCTGGTTGAGGGGCGCGGCGAGGACATTGACGAGGAGGGCGTGGAGGTGGCGCTGGCACAGGTGGGCAGTGCAAACCGTCCTTCTACTCAATGACTCTTTCTCATTATCATGCTCATTGCTCACTGCTCAATGCGTGCTCGTGCGGCCAAGTAGAGCAGCGTTGAGTCATGGGCTCACCCCCCACAGGCGCTTGCGCTCCTTTCGCTTGCTGGCTGCCCTTCTACGTGCTTTCCTTGGACGTCACATCGAACCCCCCTGTTTCAAGCAGCCTCGTAATGCAGCTGCACGTCTGTCCCCACTTCGGCGCGGCCGTGCAACTGCGCTGTGCTCCTGCATCCTCACTCCCGTGCTCACCTGCATCGACGCGCTCCCACACACCGGCCTCGTTTGTCGGCGCGCCAGGTGGCGCACTGCTCCCAGCTCATGAAGCTGGTGGGCGACCAGCTGGAGAGCGAGGTGCATCACAAGCAGACGTTCCAGACCCTCGTCGGTGCGGGCGAAAGCAGCGCGGCAGCATTGCGCATGGAGGTCGCAGCGGGCATGGCAACCTGCTGCGGCCACCAGCAAATTATTCAAGTGCACCTGAGCGGCCATCCGACCGAGCGAATGCCAGGTTTCTGCCAGTCAATTGCCCAACGGATTGTCAAGGCACCTGCAACCCTGTCAACCCTGTTGCATCGCAGACATGGCGGCCCATGGTGCAAAGCGCTTCAGCGCGCCGGCCAAGGTGCGGGCAAATAGTCACGTGGACACGCCGGGGCTTTCTGGAGCACTACAATAGCGCTCTCTGCGAGAGCAATGCAGGCGCATGGGTGGTTAGGTCGCCACTGCCTTGAAGTCTCCCTGCAAGCTCGCGTGCGCGGCCTGGCAAGCCTGCGCTGCAACTGACCCCACGCACACATACACATGTGGAATGAGTTCACACAACTCACATGTGCGCGCACATTCCGCACACTCCGTGCACAATCAAATAGACAAGCACTCAGGCACGCATACACATACACGCCCGCACGCACGCTCACGCCGCAGGCACGCATCGTGTCTCTCCTGGGCGGGCAGCTCAAGTGGCGCGATGAGGTGGCGCTGGACGAGCTCGGCCGCTCCCTGATGGCGGGGGTGCAGGACCTGGGACCCACCCACCTGAGCCTGCTGGTGCGTGCCCCTGTGCCTGGCCCCCAGTCAGGCGTGCATGCGCCCGTGCGTGGGGCATCAGGACATGCATCCCCGATGATACAGAGCATCCCGCACGCGCCTGCAGGCGCCCCGGCAGCTTGCCTTCTCGCCGGCGCTGGCGCGGCCTGCGAGCGTTCGTGGTCTAATCGCCTCCCCTGCTCTCGCCGGTGGACCCATCGGCGGCAGGTGGGCGGCCTGGCGGCCGCGGGCCACTCCCCGGGCGTGCTGCTGCTGGACGCCGTGAGGGACCGCATCAGAGAGCTTGGGCCTTCAGAGGTCCCCGCGCAGCAGGTGCGGGCGCTCGCGAGAGAGCACCGGGCCGCACCTGTGCGTTCGGCCGGCGGCGGCTGCGCGGCTCCTGTGCCGGACCGCATCTTGTGTGCAGGGGTGAGGTGCGCTGCGCGCCCCAGGTACGCTTGCAGGGATACCAGCTGAACCAGGCAAAGGTTTTGACAGGTGTGAGTGGCGATGCCTGGACAGTGGGGGGAGAGGGCAGGGGCTGCAGGTCAGGAATGCCGTCAGAATCCACTTCGCCTGTGACTCTGACATACCTCTGTTCTGCCCCCATGCGATTGTCCAAACACTCAACCCGGGACGTCCGTCACCAAGGCTGACCGCATCGACGAGGCGCTGCGTAAGCTGGGCCATCCAGGGCTGGCTGGGGAGGAGGAGGGCGGCGCGCCGTCCAACCCTCCGGCGCAGCATCAGCCAGACCGTGCGCAGAGTGGCGCGGACTATGTCTGATCGGGCACTAGGGTACCGATGCAGATGTTTGACGATCGAGAAGAGAGGCATCAAAGAGGTTTGAGCAGTGGCGGGAGTTGGCGCTTGGTCCAAATGTTACTTTGTCACCCACTTATCAAAGGTTGCAGAGACGGCCACACGCCGCGCAGATATGCAAGCGCTGCTGAGCAAGCTTTGCGAGCAGCTGTTTCTTTTGAGCTCTGCCGGTTGATTTCCCTGGCGGGTTTTGGGCCACCCCTCTTGGCATACATGCAAAGTTGAATGCAGGGCCCATGTATTGGCTTGCAGAGATGTTTCTTCGGCACTTACTGCTGTAGTGGCACCATATATCATGCACACGCGGCACCGTTTTTGTGTAAAATTGCATGCTATTGATTGGCTCTGTTCGGTCACAATTTTGTATGAGTTGCCGGCGCAGGCTTGGGATATGCATATCAGGTTGCACCTCATGCGAAAGCCACTGATGGCTGTCAGCACGCATGTGACCTGACCTGAAGGAGTTGTACACTCATGAGATGCCTTAGCTTGCATAAGTTCCTCACACATCCATGCAGATCAAGGTGAAGCATGTCCCACTTGGTCTGCCTGCCCTTCGGCTGGCTGCCATCCTGGAAGCTGCTGTACGAAACCGACTCGACCTGGTTGGGATGATGTGCAGGGCGCATCTCCCCCACAGTGTATATACGGTGCGCTTTTCCTGTATCGTCTGCTTCTTCAACCTTGTACGCCCCACCTAGAACGAACCCCAGATCGCACTCAACAGCCCTGTTGAAGCCCTCACAGCTCAACGCAGCAGCAGCACGATGTCGGAGTCTAGCCAGGACACGGCTCCCTTCTTCGGATTCATCGGAGCGGCCTCTGCCTTGATTTTCAGCTGTGAGCTCAGCGCGGTCGACCGCCACTGGCCGCTGTCAGGGGTCTGTTACACGGATTCTTATACCAACACATGAGATTGACTTTGCATGACCTCCGCACGCGATCACACACGGCCAAGCCACATGGAGCAAGCTAGCAAGCCCTTGTCAGCACTGACAGATCATTTGCTGCTTCCTACGCAGGTATGGGTGCCGCATATGGGACCGCCAAGTCTGGCGTGGGTATTGCCTCCATGGGCGTGATGCGACCCGAGCTCGTGATGAAGTCCATCGTCCCCGTGGTCATGGCTGGTGTCCTGGGCATTTACGGCCTCATCATTGCCGTGATCATCTCCACAAACAGTGAGCTTTCGTTTTTACAGCGATCCTGGGGCTCCCGCAGCCGCTGCCGCAGGGTGTGCTGCACAGTTGTGATACGGCTGGCACAACGTCATTCTGGCCGTTGAGCACAACGGAGCGTCGCCTCAGGGTGTTTCTGTTTGCCCAGGCTCTAAACCACGAACGAACAAACAACACCTGCAGTCTCGCCTGCCAAGTACACGCTGTTTGACGGCTTTGCTCATCTGTCATCCGGACTGTCGTGCGGCCTGGCTGGCCTGGCGGCGGGCATGGCCATCGGCATCGTCGGCGACGCCGGAGTCAGGTGGGCCCCACCTAGCATGGCAAGGTTGTTGCTGTAGCAATAGCGGCCTGTACGTGGCGGGCAACACGCGTGTGGCCCGAGATGCGGTGGCAGCTGGTCGACTCCCCCAAGTGCACCCAGCGCAGTCCTGCGTCGCTCGCTGCACCACTCATGTCCGTAGGGCCAACGCGCAGCAGCCAAAGCTCTTCGTGGGCATGATCCTGATCCTCATTTTTGCGGAGGCGCTGGCGCTCTACGGCCTCATTGGTGAGAGTGTCACCCGCGCCAAGGGGGGCTGGGCGGTTGACAACTTGGCAGCATTGGCTGCAATGCAGTTGTAATGAAGTCTTGACACAACACGTGCATTCAGCAGGATACATGTTTGCTTCATGAGCACATCACCCTGAAGATGCCACAACTGCTTTATGCCAAGCTTGCCTTTGTAAACAAGACGTCTGCACCTCAACCTTTCCTCACCTACTCCCCTTGCCCCTGCTTTTGCAATCGCAGTGGGCATCATCTTGTCTTCCAAGGCAGGCGCTGCGGCCTGATGCTCAAACATCTTCTGCGCCATATACCAACGTTCGACGCGTGCACAATTTGTCACAGCCAACCGGGCCTGGCGACTGGCGCACCTGTCCGCTGTAAACACCCACATACTGTGTGCTTGTGTTGCGCAACAGGCGCGCACGGTTGCAGGAAACAGCTGTACTAGAAGGGGGTGCTTGGAGCGCAGGGTGCGCAAAGCTTAACGTTTTAAGGACATGCAAGAGGCGAGGTCATGAGCAGCAGGCTCGCGGCAGATAGTGGTGCAGCAGGTGACAGGCCGGCACTGGGCTGGGCGACTGTAGCCAGCAAAGGGTTGGGAGGCAAGCAGGGGCTCCAAATCCTACTGCTGGAGCGAAATGTGATCAGACAGCAGGCCTGCATCATCGAAGCCGCGCACAAGGCCGCCACCACTCCAGTATCATCGCTTTTGAACGCCCATGCGTGCAACAATTTGTATTTGCCTGTGTGTGAAAAAGTGCATGTGTGCGCACCCGTGTGCGCGTCCATCCTTAATAGGCAGCGACACGCTTGGAGGGCCGAATGTGGCAAGAAAGGCTCACATGCTCGCGGAACCCTCGTTTATTTACAGTGGCGCCCATTGTTCCTCCCAAACCCCTTCTCTGATTGCTGGCCGTGTGGACCTGGTTCAGCGCAGGGGGTTCTGGCTTGGCCGGCCAGGCGGCTATTTGTCACGCAACTACCGTGTTTTGTCATGTGGGCCAGTGATGCAGCCCACCCGCAGGCAAGCTGGCCTGTGTCCAACGCCCTGTTCAAGCTATGTGTACTTGTCGGCACTCACGAACCTTCTGAGCAGGCTTCCTTACGGGTCTGACCCTGAGAGCTAGGGGCTTTCAAAGGGTGTTATAGATTGTCAAAGCGTGGCAACGCCTGCTCTGCAATGCACCTGCTAGGAGGCTGCCCGCGCCACGTTGCAGGCTTGATACACCTCCTTTGCCCTCCTGGAGCCCTGCTCCTGCAGCGTTCTGCTTGGCATGTGGATTTATGTTGTGCGATTGGCAGCTTGTCCGATTGTGCAAAAGACCAGGGTGAAGTCTTGAACCCTTGTTGCCAAGAGATACTGGGGAAGATCGCGCACCCACCATTGGTTGTGCTCACGTGTCAGACCTAGAATGGTTGTGATCCGCTTCTCGCTGCGCGGCCAGCATGTAGGTGGGCGCATAAAATTGTGTGTGCGTGTGTGCGAATGTGTGCGGAGGCTGCGAATGCTGCGCACAAGGAATGCTATCCTGTTGAATGGACTTTCAGAAGGTTTGATTCATAACAGCCTGCAACAAAACCGCTCAAGCCAACCCGTGATTATTTTGCGGGGACAGACGTTAGTGTGCAGGGAGCGCCCCAGTTGCATTTGCACTGCAGTCACGTATGGCACTCCCAGATTGCAATTCAGCAAGAGCTTTATAGTTGCCCAGTCTGTGCCACAAAGTGTACAGTATTACAGCAAGCCTCGTCACAATTTTAGACCAATTACAAAGCAACGGTCTCTCTTCAAAATTAGCAGCAACATGCCCAAAGCTGCTCGAGGGTGGCCCCAGGTGGGCGGCTCAGAGGGATGCAAGATCGCTGAGACTTCAGCCCTGGCATAGGCGTACCAGGGTAAAACAGGTCTTGAAGGGTTTGTTACGGGCCTCAAAGGTCGTGGTGTTGCCCGCGCAGAGGCATAGTGCTTGATCGACGAGCAGCTGTTTAGCAGCTGTTCAGGTGTTCAAGCGGCTAACTCCAGTCCAAAGCTGCCATGCGCGCGCTCGAGTTTTTGTACAATAGCAAGATAATATGTTTGAAGAGAAAAAAGCATGCTCCATTCCTCATGGATTGTGAGATCGGACATTCAAATTCTGATCAGACGGGTCAGTACTGCAGATGGCACTTGATTTAAGGTATTCCACACCAAAGTATTGCATTTCGTGGCGCGCGCTTTGCGGCAGCACCCTCTCTTGTTACTCGACCAAATGTCCTATTTGTGAGGCTGACATCCGCTTTCAAAGGCTCATTAAGGATTTTATTGTTGATTCAAGGCTGTCTCAGTGATCGCACTGCGGACAGCGCACCCATCGCACGGATGATTGTGGTGATGACATCAGCGGTGCTCACTGTTGTGCTGCATTTGCTGTGATGATTACGTGCCGCACACCACAGGCACAACACAGTTGAGGCACCGATGAGCGCACCTAGCAGTGCGCATGGGCGCCACCACCCAGTGGCAGCCGAGAAGCCAAAGATTTTTGGGGGGCGACCACAAACCCCAGCGCCCTTGTTGGGGAGCTGTTCCTGATAACATGTCTGAATTCCTCTAAGGCAGCGATGACGACAGCAGCTCCTACCTGCAGATCAGCAGATGCCTGAGTGTACGTCATGCTTCCAGAATCATGTGTGTGTTGCAGCCGGAGTCCCCCCTTCTACTAAGCTGCAGGCGGACAGCTGATGTCATGGCGCAGTGTTGCCCACGCAGCCTGCGTGGCTTGCCATACCACATAGGCACCCGCCCATACCGTCCCCCTCATTCACAACAAATAGCTCACGAGGGCCTTGAGATTTTAGTCATCATCACTGTTAAATCCTTAAGAACAAGCTGCGAAGGGCGCACAAGGGCGCACAACGAGTACAGAGCTTGCGAGTGCCACAAGACTGGGCCATGTCAGCCCAAAGCTGAACCAATAGCACCCACAAAAAAGACCACCATAGGTGAAACTTGGGGCAGGTGGAGAGTGTTAGTCCATGTGCACGCCTGCGTGGTCGCATGACGCCTTCAAGTGCAAACTCCCTTGCCCATCTAACAACAGGGCCTCCAGCAAATTGCTGCACACGCTTGTATGCAGCTGCACCTCACCGCCATTTGCTGATAACCGCGATTTGCACCTGGCCCACGTGATAAAAGCATCGGACCTGGCCACACTGCTGGTGACAACACACTGCACTACTGAAGTCTGCACCTGCCCACCTGGGCGGGCGAGGGCGATGGGACATGGGGACATCACCGTAACGGCCACCTCTCGATAGGGAGTACGTGTCTACGAATTGCACAACATTGTAATGTCACCACCCAGGTGGATCCTCGCAATCACCGTAGTCTTGCGCGATCGCTCGCTGTAATGAGTAGCCAGGCGCAAGTCCCAGCTTCATAGAGCAGCATGAGGTTCTGCTGATAACACCCGTTGTCTGCACCGGTGCACGTGGAGCGCCGCGTCGTCGTTGCACGTGTCTGAGGCGCTTTCAAACTTGGCATGCGCAACAGCGCAGCAGCTGCAGCCACCAGCAACGCGCGCTAGCTCAGTAGCACGGGAGCCGGGCGCATCCATGGACACATGGATTGCCACCATCGCAACTGCGGACGTGGCTGCGGGCGGAGCGGGCGGCGACCCAGCCAGGCGCATCGAGATGCACAAGGTTCGCACAACCCGCTGCTGCGCGGTGGCCGGCCGGCCGGCCGGCATGCGCGTACTGCGGCTGTCGCTGCAACGCCCCCGCATTACTGTTCGCAGTTGCGCACCGCACCGGCGGTCGCAGGTGCAGTTAGTCATGGCACTGCCCCCATGAACCTGTTGGCGCCAGGTCCGGTGTCCGAAACCGCTGCGTTCCTTACTTTATCAACACCCTCGCCCCCCCGCCGCCGGCGTGCGCGCAGCGCCTTGCGCGCCTGGCCGAGCTCGCGCTCGGCGCGCGGCAGCGGCTGGCGGCGCTCGATGACGCAAAAGCGGCGCTGCACGAGCGCAAGGCGGTGCAGCAGGCGCAGCTTGCCGCGGCGCTTGACGCTCGGCTCTCGGCGGCCGACGCCGGCCTGCACCCGTACAGGTGTGCTGCGGCTGCCGCCGGCGCCCGTGCGCGGCGGAAAGCGCCCGCCTTGGGTTGCGGCTTGCGCTCACCGCACACCCATGGGCCGCGCCGGTGCAAGCGGCGATGGTTGCGGTGCTCGAGGGCGCTGCATTAGACACCGCCAGGGAGCGCTACGGCCCCAAAAACCCCTGAAACCGCGGCGTTCTTGCCGTCCCGCACCCCCAGGGTTGCCCTCCACGACCGCGCGGCCGCCTTGGAGCGCGCCGCGGCGTTTTACTCGGACGCCCTCCGCGGCCTGCGGCCAGACCCCTCGGACGCGGAGTGGGCGGCGGCGGGCGCCGCGTTTGAGCGGCTGGCGGGGGACGCGGCGGCGGCGGCGGCGGCAGCTAGGGAGCAGGGGGAGCCGCGGGCGCTGGTGGAGCGGTTGGTCGCTGAGGTGGCCCCCAGCCAGGTGAGGATCCTGACTCAGGCAAATCCTGAGAGGCGTGCGGCGCGGCGGCCTGCAGGCACGCAGGCCTGTGCTATGACAGCGCAGGCGCTGCCGTCGCATGTGTGGCGGGGCCGCCAGGGTGGCGCCCTGCCCGGCAGCGGATGTCCCCTTGCTCGGAAGAGTAGAGCTGTGCAAGTGTGAGCGACAAAGTTTGCTATTGTGGTGTGTTGCCGGCACGCGCCTGCTCCACAGGCCGACCATGCGGCGGCCGTCGAGGTGCTGCGGGCGCGCGCGGACGAGCTGGCCGCGGCGCTGCAGCGGGCGGAGGCGGCGCGCGACGCCGCGCTGCGGCGCGCGGAGGCCGCGGAGGCGCTGCACGCGGCCGCGGACGCGCAGTCGCACGCGCTCGCCGTGGCGGTCGGGAGGCTGCGGCAGCAGGCGGCGGTGCTCGCTTCGACGGGCGCCCTTGGGTGGGGGGCTGGAGGCGCGGGTGAGAGCGCTGCTGCGGCGGCAGGCGGCCCGCGTTTCGAGCGGCCGTCATTGACGGACAAGCGTGACCCAGTCGGCTCACACCCCGCCATCGGCGGGGATGGCGGCAGTCAAAGCGACCACGGCAGGGCAGCGATGCTGGGGCCTGCGCGGCTGCGGGCGCAGGGCGGCGAGCTCGCGCCACAGGGCGCGCGAGCGTCGCTTCGGCGGCCCTCTTCAGCGCCCGCCGGCAGGCCGACAGGGGATGTGTGGATAGGGGCAGCAGAGGCCCGCGCAGCCGCCGGCGCCGCGGCGCACCCCGCAGAGCTGCGTGCATGGGCGGGCCGGGACCAGTGGGGCGGCCCCCCGCGGGGGCTTCCAGGCGGCTGGGGAGCAGACCCTGACTGCGCGGGCGGTCGCGCTGGGTCGGCTGGGGACGCCAGCGTTGGCCGCGGCCTGTTTCTCAGCGCTGAGGTGGACAAGCAGGAAGCTTGGGACCTGCACGGATCACCCCAGCTTCGGTCTGCCGCCGACACCACCGACACGCCTCAGCGCAGCAGGCTTGGCTTCAGCTGCGGTGGCGGCGGCGGCGGTGCGCTCGGCGGCGCGCAGAGCGTGAGGGAGGTGCGGCTGCGGCGGTCCTACCAGGCGATGCTCTCGCAGCTGCAGGCGCGGCACCAGCAGGCCGCCTACGCGTGCGAGCTGAGGCACAAGGAGGTGGGGCAGAGGGGCGCGCACGCATGCGCCTTCCCGGGCGCGCCGCCCGCCGTGCGCGGCGCCGCCTGTCGTGGGTGGCCAGGGCGACAGGCGCGCATATGCATGGCTGTGCACATGATTTGCATCCCATCAACAAAGGCCTGTCCACACCAACATTCCCCATATCAATCTCTTTTCCCGTTGCTGTTCAAAATTTTGACAGGAGCTGCGCCTTCAAGCTGAATCGCATGCAGCCGCCCTTGAGCGCCTGGCGGCAAACGGGCAGGACGCCGTCACCGCGGCCGTCCGGCAGCAACAGCAGCTGCAGCAGCAGCAGCAGCAGCAGCAGCAGCAGCAGCAGCAGCAGCAACAGCAGCAGCAGCAGCAGGCCCCGCAGTCGGAGGAGCTCGCAGAGCTGCGCGCCCGCCTCGCGGCCGCGGCGCGCGAGCGGGCGCGGCAGCAGGCGCTGCTGGAAGAGGCGCAGGCGGACGCGCTGCGCCTCGTCAGCGATCACGCCCGCCAGATCAGGGAGCTGCGGCAGGCACATGCCGCTGAGCTGGCGGCGGCGCCGTCGCCCGGCGGCGAGCGTGCAGCCGCCGACGCAGGCACGCGGGGCGGCGCACGGGACGCGCGGGGGGGCGGCGACAGCAGCGGCGCTGGCGCTGGCGGCGGCGGCGGCGGAGGCGGTGCGCGGGGTTTGGTGGGGCCGCAGCAGCTGGAGGCGCTGGCGGAGAGGTATGGTGTCGAGGGAGCGTGGCGCTCGCACCAGGAGGCGCTGCAGCGCGCGGCCAGACCCGGCAGGGACGGGCGCGGGCCGACCGCAGCGGCGGGGTCGCATGCAGCGTGCACGGGCGACGGCAAGCACAGCAATGGCTGCATCAATGCGTCCCAGGGCAATTCGACGGGTTTCTTTAACTGGCCGGCCCACGCTGCGGCCACGGGCAGCAACAGCGAACAGACAGGGCCCGCTGCGTCGAGCTCAGGGCTCGGGCGCAGCAGCGGGTGCGGCAGCCCCGTGCGACGCTGGGGGGTGGCGGAGCAGGCGCCGCGGCAGCCCGCTGCGTTGCCGGCTGTGGCCAGCCCGGGGAAGGCCGCTGAGTCAGACCTCAGGAGGCCTGCCACACTGCTGGACCGCCTGCTGGGGCTCAGCCCAGACAAGGAGGGGCGACAGCCCCAGCAGCAGCCCCAGCAGCAGCCCCAGCAGCAGCAGCAGCGGCAGCAGCAGCAGCGGCATCGACAGCAAGCCCTGCGCAGCCGCAGCGCCCCCGGCTCTGCGAACGCAAACGCGCCGCGCCGCTGCGTACGATGCGGCCTGGACGACGAGTCATCCCCAGGGGCATGCAGCTTCCACCCGGGCCTGGTGCCGGCGCCAGGGGCGCTCCTGTACACCCCTGAGTGGCAGGCCTGCCGGGCCGGCTGCGCCGCGGGAGAGCCCGGGTGCTACACACGCGTGAAGCACTTTTACGTGACCGGCGCCGCGCCCTCGGCAGCGGATGGCGGGGTGGGCGCTGCTGGAGGCGGGGCGCGGCCTGCAGATGGGTCGGAGGGGCCCACCGCCAGGGGGCAGCAGGGTGGCGCTGAGGCGGCTCCGCGGCCGCGCTGGCGGCTGCCTGCGCCCAGCAGCAGGCGAGGCGCATGACCCTCTTTTGGGCGTGGCTGCAGACAAGCAGTAAGCATGTGCGGAGCACGGTTTGTAACGCACAGGCACTACACTGGGATGACAAAACCTGCGCTTTCTGCGCGTCACGCCGGATGAGCGTGTCTCACGGCCATCACCAAAGCACTGCCCGACCCCCTAGCACAGGGCATGAACGACAGCTCACTATAGTGCAGAAGGTTGTGGTACTGGCATCTGGCAACCACTGCTTCCGTGCGCCAATCCTACCCAGGCTCGGTGTCCTCCATGGCTGAAAAGTGCGGCTCAGTAACACCTCCCCTAGGTGACGCTGCACCCTCACGGGTACCCTGGCCTATGCGACGCACCACAGTGCATGCCAAGGCTAACAGGCGGCAACGCATGATTGAAAATGAGGGGAATCCAACACAAAGCAAGTCGTCCGCTATAAACAACAAATTAACCAGCATAAAGCTTGCGATGGTGATGGTGACAACTGCCGTGTCTACTCGATGTCCTGAACGCGTCTCAGTAGACATTAAGCACCGCCGTGATGGGCGCGCGGCACAGCGGGCACGGCTCCCCCAACTTCACCAGCGCCGCGCATTCGGTGCAGACGCAGCGGTGGACGCTCGAGCCGTGGAGGTACCCGATCTGGCGGCGATTAGTCAGGCATATGATGCACATGTCCTCCTCGTCCTGCGGCTCGCCGTCCCCTCCCGCAGCTGCTGCGGGCGGCGCGGACGGCCCAGCCGCGGCCACTGCGGTGG